TTTTAGTGATAATAAAGGAAGCGCTGCTCGCATTCTGCCATGCCAAACCATGCACGCAGCAGCCCATGCTTGCTTTTCTGTTAAAAATAACTGTGGTTTGTGAATGTTGATGCTTAGCCTAAATAACAAATATTTTATCGGGAGTGTTTATGCTGGGATGTTGTGGATCTTAGATGTTACAGAACCATTTCATGTAAATTTCTTTGATCTATATAGATTACTTTTATGCTGGCTTTTGTGGGCGGGAGCGGGACAAAACATGGATGTCGTGGACGGGAGCGGGACCAGATAAGATTTTTTGACTGAAAAATCCGTCCCGCGCAGGTCTCTACCTTGGACCACAAAACCAGTCATAAGGGTACATTTTTTTTAAATTGAGATGTATACATCATCTGAAAGCTGAATAAATAAGATTTCCATTGATGTATGGTCTGTTAGGATAGGACAATATTTGGCAGAGATATTTGAATATCTGGAATCTGAGGATGTAAAAAAATCTAAATATTGAGAAAATCGCCTTTTAAATTATCCAAATGATGTCCTTAGCATTGCATATTACTAATGATAATACATTTTTTATATATTTACGGTAAGAAATTTACAAAATATCTTCATGGAACATGATCTTTACTTAATATCCTAATGATTTTTGGCATAAAAGAAAAATCGATAATTTTGACCCATACAATGAATTTTTGGCTTTTGCTACAAATATATCCCCGTGCAACTGAAGACTGGTTTTGTGGTCCAGGGTCACATATTAATATAATGAATATTTTATATACATTTATTATGAATTGCTATTTATTATACATATATATTTATTATTCATTACTACATATTATACATATACTATATTTATTTATTTATTTATTTGTATTTACTTACTAACTTACTAATAATAGTGGCTTTTTTTTTGTCAGTTTAATTTTGATTATTCAATTTGTCCATTTAGTTCCAGCCTGATTCATTTTTAATGCTAGAAAATTTCAAAATCGGGGTTTAAAACTATTTTGACTTGTTAATGTAAAATTACTAGATCTTATAATATTTTATAATTATTAATTTTAATAGTATTCATTTTAATTGTTCATTTTGTCCATTTAGTTCCATCCTGATGAATTTTTATTGATTAAAAAAAGTCAGGGTTTAAAACTATTTTGACTTTTTGCAATATAAATGTAAATAAATGTAATAATTAATAATTTTATTAATATTAATGTCCATTTTGCCCACTTAGTTTTTTTTTTCATATAAAATGGATCTATCATGTATTTTTGTTCTGTCCTGATTCTTTTTTTATTGCTAGAAATGTACAAAAACAGTATAAAACCGAAAATGTAATAATTTGTTTGACCTCCTGAGGTTCACAGTCAATATTTTTGAAGGTTAAGCACCTCCTTTCACTGACTGTTTGTTGAAAAGGTTTTTTTTTTTTTGAAGAAGAATTTTGTTGGCATTTGTGGAAAATGTCTACTGCAAGATCAAACAGTCAATGAAGCGGTGAGGAGAATCTCTATCATGTATTTTTGTTCTGTCCTGATTCTTTTTTTATTGCTAGAAATGTACAAAAACAGTATAAAACCGAAAATGTAATAATTTGTTTGACCTCCTGAGGTTCACAGTCAATATTTTTGAAGGTTAAGCACCTCCTTTCACTGACTGTTTGTTGAAAAGGTTTTTTTTTGAAGAAGAAGAAGAATTTTGTTGGCATTTGTGGAAAATGTCTACTGCAAGATCAAACAGTCAATGAAGCGGTGAGGAGAATCTATCTTGTCCACACACCCCATAAATAGATACATTCAGTCTGTTGTATCCTCTTCTATTGCTGGGGATATACTCTAAAAAGCTTTCACTGATGTCTTTTCTAAATCTTGTTTTACCTCTGTTGGAGGTGGTGTCATGCTCATTTTTGTTCCCCTCTGCGTCTCTGTGGTCCGGAACAAACCGTTCTGCGTTTAATGTACTGTGACTGAACTAGCACCATGTCTTCTCACCAGGAGAATATTAGCATAATTGAATTGTTGGCTAATGCCTACAGTCCTCGTTTATGATTTCCATGCGGTTGTCAGTTGAGGTATTTTTCTCTAGCATTCTGCCAGAGAAAACTATGATTATATTAAAGGACAGTGTTGAGGACATTAAGGTTCCTGGTATCCTCTGCAAGACAGATCTGGCTACCGCATACACAATTTTGAGAGACTCTTCTTCCCAAGCTCCTTTTATGTGACTCGAGGCTTCAACACACACACACACACACACACACACACACACATACATCATGCAACGCTTTGACCTCTGCATGAAAACTGTGAATGCAGAGGTGTCAGATAAACATTTTTACCCTACAATGCACAACGGGGTTCAAAATTACCTGGGAAAAAAAATATATATATTTTTTTTTCAATAAAATTATATTGATATTACATATATTTCTTACATTTTCTGTATGAGCCTCAGAAATGTTTATATTTTTTAGTCATTGGTTTGATAGCCTTGATACTCCATAGATTACTTAACATTTTGTTTTGTTTTTGTCAGTTTCATATATTATGTTGAGATATTCTTTAGTTACGAAAGGCCAGTATATTTTAGGATTCTACACTCTGTGCGCATACATAAACTACAATTCAAAAGTTTTGTCAATAAGAATTTGAATGCTCACCAAGGCTGCATTTATTTGAAATAAAAATACAGTAAAATGGTGAAATGGCATTACAATATTTAACACTTTAATACATTTTAAAATATAATTTATTCCTGTGACGTTAAACCTGCTTTGTCAGCACCATTACTTCAGACTTCAGTGTCACATGGTTTTTCAGAAATCATTCTAATATGCTGATTTGATGCTCAAGAAATATTACTTATTTTGATCAATGTTGAAAACAGTTGTGTTGCTGAGAAACTGTGATTCAAAAGACATTTACATTTATATTGATCAATTTAATGCATCCTTGCTGAATAAACTTATTTAGTGACCCCAGACTTTTGAACATCAGTGTGTCTATTTATATATATATATATAGAGAGAGAGAGAGAGCGCTTAGAATAGATAGTCCTACCGATCGAAACAATGACGCAACTTAAGGGCTTTGAGATCAAAGGTGCATTTTCCAATTTTACTAGAGCTGCCAAAATCTGTTCTCTGCCAAAGAAAAGATGTTTCAAAACTCTTCTGACTCATTCTAAGGATTACGAGTTACAGCTGACTCACTGGCATGTGGGAAGCTGAAATGAAGATTTCTTGCAGGAAGGAGGAGGAGGAAGCGAACGAGCTAGAGAGAGTCAGTTGGCTGGTGATTCTTTGAGATGTGTTGAGGATGACCCCTCAGGTGCTTCCTTGTCTGTCAGAGCCTTTGAAGTCTACCACAAACCGAAGACACCACTTAACCAAATCACTTCACGAAGCAAGACTCCGAAGCACACAAAGCCCTGTCGGGTCAATTCACAGTCTGCGGCCCCTGAGCCATTTGCAAAAAGACCAGTCAGTATCATTTTCAGAGTCCTAAACGATTGTTGATCGATGTGCACCGCAGACCCGTCCCTGAAAGTGTTTCAGCATCCAAGAGGCGTCCTATCCTCATCTGCGTCACCTTAACCTCCCTTTCTCATCCCTCACTCCCAATAAAAAAAGAAAGGTCACTGCATTTAAAACAATAAAGGTGTCTGGAGCTGTAAATCTAGCCCATGAGCAGGATCATCAATCTCGGATAGACTCAGTCTCAAGTCACACTAGAGTGATCCGGTGAGTATAACAGGTTCTTTAAAAATGCGGCAGGCCTGGTTTGGCGCCGGTCGATAACCCGGAGGCAGATTTCCGTATGAGGGGGAACGTGTCTATGGGGAAAGAGACCTCTTGGCTGCCATCTGTGCTCCCTAGTGCTTGGGATGACGGATTAAGCTTAAGGTCAGTCAATGGTGTGACGTCGTGTGTCAGAGTGCATTTTCACTTGCCTCTTTGAAAGCACACAGTGCGAACAAACATCTCTGAAATTTGTCGTCAGTACGCATGGGCAAGATTGTGCCTTTTTGCAGCCCAGTTACAATGTGTGGCTTTGCAATTGAGATGTACCCCATGAGACTTTATTGATATAGACAATTGTAAATGGGGTGCAGCGCGGTGTATAAATCACATTGGTTATGCTTATGTGCCTGTCTGCTTTTCGGTAAGCTGGTTTAAACGCTCTCAATCAGCATGATGAAAACAGCAGGGTTTATCTGGTTTTCACAGGCTTGTTTGTGTTTCTAATAGATATAGATAAGATATACACAGTTTTTTAGTTAACATTATCAGTATATATATATATATATATATATATGAGGAAGCAGTCAGAAATAATACTGGTGCATTCCTAATATTTCATTTGTTAAAATAACTGTATATTCAGTAAAATATTAGTTTTTATTATCCTATTTATTTTATTATTATTTTTTTTTTATAATGACAATACTATTTTTAAGTATTGTATAATATAGTAATTTCAGATCCAGACCCATAAGATAAGGACGTTCTAACAACCTCATAATTTTGTACCATATACAGAAAGAGTTTCCCCAAATCCCTGTGGTCTGATTTGCGATATAATACACTAGCTCTATAACAAAGTGTCTTTTCTTATTTCTAAGTGCACCTAGTTGGCCCAAAGATACTAGCATACATATTGAATTCTTATCTGCAGCGAGGGCACAAATCCAGCTCAGTCGCTGCAAAGACTCAACCTTTTAGTATGTTAAAAGATGCATACAGAACAGCTATTTGAAACATTTTAAAGGATTGTTCACTAGAATTTGGTTGATTTATCAAATCTGTATGATTTTTTTGTCCTTACGTTGATGGCCAAAGGAGAATTTTAGCAGAATGTTCAAGCTGCTCTTTTCCATATAGTAAAAATGAATTGGGAGGGTCCTTTTGGGCCCCAAAAATCAATTTTATAGGATTCTGTGAGGAACTTTCTGCTGTTTGTGACCCTGTTGCCCTCTGTTTTTCATTCCTCTAGTGTCTCTGGCTTCCAGTACGGTAGGACTGGCCGGTCAGGTGGTCCACACAGAAACAACAGAGGTGACCCTCATCAGCGACTCCATCATGGGCTTTGGGATCCAGCTTCAGGGAGGAGTCTTTGCCACGGAAACCCTGTCCTCTCCGCCGCTCATCGCTTACATAGACCCAGACAGCCCGGCAGAGCGGTAAGATCTCAAACATGATTTTTATTAATCTCCAGTGCTTCTCCAGTGCCTCATCTGACCTAGTTAAAACTCTGGGTTTTAATATTCCAGATACCCCTCCTCAGATTGGAGCGCTCGGCACGGCTTAATTGTTTGCATTATCAGAGAAGTGTGAACTTCCCTTTGGGAATCTTGAATATTTAATCTCGAATCTAATTTTGATTATCTGAACACATCCCAAAGCCCACAGTTATTACATCACTGCGCCGTTCTCGCCGCTTAGAACTTGTCCTCCGCAGAGCCACAGCTTCATCGATGATATAATGCAATGATCACACATGATATATAACTGCCTGGCCGTGACGCTCTGATTTCCAGCCTGCTTGGGCTGTGATTGACTACGGCATTACGTGATAGAGCAAAGCACTTAACTATAATTACCTGAGTGGCGGAGCCTCAGCTGGCATCCAAATGAGCTTTACTCGTCGACTGAGGTGGATTTACATCCCAACTTCACTGTAATTACTGACCTAAGCAACAGAGATGAGTCGCTGCCAGCCGAAGTTGTAATTGCAGTGATGGACATAAACCTTGTAATGTTGGTGATTTGATAAAGAACTACCGGAGATGGGGAACAAGAGTAGCGATGCTGCCAACTTAACTACATTTTTCAGTACTGGGAAGACAATTTAGCCTTTCAAAACAATGTAACTTATTACAAGAAATAGTGGCGAGTGCACAACATTACTATTTATTTACTTTACAGTAAACTCTGCAATCTGTTTTATTGAATTAATTTGTGATTTATGCATCATTTTAATGCTTCACAAAAACATTTCACAGATTCATTTGAGCTTTTGTGGGGACACCTGTGTAGTGTTTTACTTTCTTTTTGGAGCAATATACAAAATATTATAGTATCAGATTAAATTATAACATAGTAAATTATGGTTTGTTACAGTAATTTACAGAATAATATTATATTAGTTAAATGCCCTAGTTCATCACTATGGATTAAATCATTTATATGAGTTATAGTAATGCGTTTTTGTTTATATATATATATATATATATATATATATATATATATTATTATATATATATATATTTTTTTTTTTTCATTTTTATTGTAAAATTATTTGTTTTACATCTTTTTTTCCCCGCAGTGATATACAATATAGAATAATGTTTATTCACTTAATTTACAAAGTATTACATTTAGTCAAAAGTAGTTCACCAATATGGGTCAGGTCAGTTATATGAGTTATGGTATTTTGGTGGTTTAATTTTTTTATTTCAATATATTTATATTTTATGTATGGTATTTTATCTAAGGTAATAAAATGTTTTTTTGTTGTTTTTTTGCCAGATGAATCCTGCTTTCATTTCTAAAATAAAGTCAAATAAAATAAAATACAGTTCAAGAAAGAAATTTCCCCCTTAGATTTTAATGTTGATTTAGAGGTTTTAGAGATGAACAAATTAACAAACAATAAAGATTACATATTCCAGATGAAAGCACACTATATTGGTATCTCAAGAACTGGAGAGGATCTGCAAGGAGGAATGGCAGAGGATCCCCAAATCCAGGTGTGAGAAACTTGTTGCATCTTTCCCAAAAAGACTCATGGCTGTATTAGATCAAAAGGGTGCTTCTACTAAATACTGAGCAAAGGGTCTGAATACTTAGGACCATGTGATATTTCAGTTTTTCTTTTTTAATAAATCTGCAAAAATGTTAACAATTCTGTGTTTTTCTGTCAATATGGGGTGCTGTGTGTACATTAATGAGGAAAAAAAATTAACTTAAATGATTTTAGCAAATGGCTGCAATATAACAAAGAGTGAAAAATGTAAGGGGGTCTGAATACTTTCCGTACCCACTGTATATATATTTTTTTTCATTTTTATTGTAAAATTATTTGTTTTACATCTTTTTTTCCCCGCAGTGATATACAATATAGAATAATGTTTATTCACTTAATTTACAAAGTATTACATTTAGTCAAAAGTAGTTCACCAATATGGGTCAGGTCAGTTATATGAGTTATGGTATTTTGGTGGTTTAATTTTTTTATTTCAATATATTTATATTTTATGTATGGTATTTTATCTAAGGTAATAAAATGTTTTTTGTTGTTTTTTTGCCAGATGAATCCTGCTTTCATTTCTAAAATAAAGTCAAATAAAATAAAATACAGTTCAAGAAAGAAATTTCCCCCTTAGATTTTAATGTTGATTTAGAGGTTTTAGAGATGAACAAATTAACAAACAATAAAGATTACATATTCCAGATGAAAGCACACTATATTGGTATCTCAGAATAGTATGCATGTTTTCAGCTGAACCCGTTTCTATATTGTAACTAGGGCTGTCGAGCTCTAAAAAGAACAAAACATACCTTAAAGGTCATTATTCTCCGTAAATATTTTCCTACAACACCATTGGTTTTTGAGGCTATTCACAATATGACTTGTTTGAATGTTTTACATATTTCTTGGTGGTAATGGTAGCAGCCCATGCTGGATACCAGCATCCAAAACGCAGCAAATACCTTATGGTGACCAACTTTGCTGGTGTTTTTAGCAGTGAAAGCAAAATTAATATTGCTTCTGTTTGGCTCATGAGCCATTTTGTAATTCAATAAAGAGTTTTTGTTCCCTCAGCTATTAAAAAGTGATTTTACGCCGACCTTGAGCTAAGAGGACATTTGTATTTTTGGCTAAAGCGTCACATCCACTCACTAATGTCTATTTAACGGCGCCAGCTGGCATAATATAAGTTGTTGGCTGGTCAGTGTGAGACATTTCCTGGGTCCCAGGTCCCCTTTTTGTCTCCCTCTACACCAGTCCATTATTTTTATTTTATGCATTCAGCACAGCTAGTCTGTTGGCTAGTGTAAGAGGAATGGTGTGCTAAATCTGCTCTCTGTGCACAGGTGCGGCATCCTGCAGATTGGCGACCGCATCCTGTCAATAAACGGCATCCCCACTGAGGACAGCACGCTAGAGGAGACCAATCAGCTGCTGAGGGACTCCAGCATCACCAGCAAAGTCACACTGGAGATTGAGTTTGACGTAGCAGGTGGGGACACGTACCGATTCATCAATTCCAAACCTGTTTGGGGATGAAAGATCCATCTGGCCACATCCCACGTTTGTCCTAATGTTTTTCTTTTCTTTTTAAAAGTTATGCCATAATTCTGAGAGCCCAACCATCTGGCATGTGTTTGATGCATAGAAATGATTAGTACTGCAAGACAAGTGGCCCGTGGTTTAATAGGTACTATTTCCGGACGGACATCCACATAAAAATACTGTTTATATACTCTCGTCTGAAAATCCACCACACATTCTCAAATTTTTCCATCTCGTGCTGTGCTTTGGCAGTGTAATCCCAGTATGGGCCACGTCGAACGTCTGTAGTCCTTGAGACACGCTGTAATTAGCTTGTCATCCTAGTGTTTTGTCTTGTTTAATTTGGTTTGATATTTAATTAGTTTCTTTTATTTAGCTTATCAGGAATCTTAAAATGTGTTTCTGACGACTTCAAGGATAGTCTCAGCCTTACGCCACTAACACAGATCGCCTCCTGTCCGTTAACCGACTAATGCATATTGCTCACAAAAACTGAGTATGAAGAGTTCAGATGCAAAAGCCTCTAAGTGCCATCTGAAATGTTCTTCTAAAATTAGCATTTTTATCAGGCTCCAGTGTTTAAGTTCAGTAATTTTACTTTAATGGCAATGTATAGGTCCTTTTCTATGCCATTAAAGTGAAAGAACTGAACATAATTATAGGAGCCTGATAAAAATTGTCATTTTAGATAAAAATTTCAGATGGCAACTCTTCGTATCTGTAAATTCTAATCTGACTCAAAGTCAAAGTTCACAAATTGTTTTCAAATTAGAATGATTTCTGAAGGATCACGTGACACTGAAGACTGGAGGAATGGCTGCTGAAAATTCAGCTTTTCCATCACAGGAATATATTACTTTTTAGAATATAATCAAATAAAAACATTATTTTGATTTGTAATAATATTTCACAATATTATAGTTTTTTACTGAATTTTTGGTCAAATAAATACAGCCTTGTTGAGCATGAGACTTCTTTCAAAAACATAAAAAAAATCTTACCAACCCCAAACTTTTGAACCGTGATTTAATTTATTTGTTAATTGAATTTGGAAAATTATATTTTTGGCATGGCATGAATGTACCATTATTTGCAAGACCCGCTTACTTCCATTCTGCAACACTCAGTTTGAAAACTGAATGTCACTTTTCTGTGCAACCCAATAAAATGTAAATATCTTACCACAGAGCAATAACATTTGCTTTTGAAAGGATGCGCTTGAAGGAGAACAACTTAACCGTGTTTTTGCTTGTACAGTATTCTTTATCGTTCAGGCCAAGTGGTTGTTTTAAAAGACACTTTTGTTGATTTGGATTAAATGAGTTGGCTTGAATTACTGCATGATCATTTCTAGAGCAGAGGTCTTTATGTTTAATGGCGGGTCACTGGAGAGCTGTGCATTTTCTTTCTTTGAGCGCTTTGACACTTCTGTCATTCTTTTTGAGTTTGACTCACTGCCCAGAGAATGACATATTTTATGAAGGTTTATTTTCTCCCATCTTTCCCAGATCGAGCTTTCTGGGCTTCTGTCAGAAAGATTGTCTACATCTCTGCCTGAGAGAAAGACTGAATTTTTAACAGCTGTCTCCAAGTCACTTTAAAGAGAGGGTTCACCCAAAAAAAATTAATGTTGTGCTGCCATATGCTTTCTCTCTTACATGTAAAGCAAAGCAAGTGAAAGCTACTCTTTTACATTCAATGAAAACCACTGTGGTCCTCACATGTTCATTGTATGGAAAAAACAGCTTGGACATTCTACTAAACATCTCATTTGGCATTCCACGGAAAAAAGATCATCATGCAGGTTTGGAACAACATGAGGGTGAGAAAATGATGACAGAACTATCATTTTGAGGTGAACTATCCCTTTAATAAGTGTTGGTTTGGACATTCATTTGAATCTCCACTTTTTGGTTTCAAAATGATCTATTAATTTGCAATTATTAAAACTCCAGAATGATGATATCGATAGAGTTGCATCTAAAAATCGACCTTTTTGTATTTCTGTCCTTGTCTCATCCAGAATCGGTTATCCCGAGCAGTGGAACCTTCCATGTGAAGCTACCAAAGAAGCCAGGTGTGGAACTGGGCATCACCATCAGCTGTACGTATTCTTCTCTCAGTTCCTCTATGCGTATTAGACTGTATTTGCTTGTGCTCTCTGACCTTCAATCCAGGTGTAAAAATTATATTTAATGGTGCATGTTAAGGCAGGCATTCACCTTGAATGAAGTTGCTTTGGATACAAGCATCTGCCAAATGTATAAATGTAAATGTAAGAAAGTATACAGTGAGAGACTGTTGTTAAATTACCTTATAATTTACCACTTTTTCCTTTGGAGCTTTAATTGCCTCTTCAGAATTTTTCGGTTCATTATCCAGGCCACAAATTTAGAAATAAGTCTACACATTTGGGTATTCTTTCATTGCCTATATCACTGAGATATACATATGTGACATTTAACCTGTTTCAGTTTCAAAGGCATTAAAAAAACACATCTGGGTGACTTATTACTGGGTTACTGGGGAAATAATGTAGCTGTTGCTTATTAGGGGGCTGGGAAAAAACTTTCTTACTCAGAGGGTTTGTGCTTATTACATTTTTGAAGTTCTGCATGAAAAGGAGTGCCTAAGTATATATTATCTCTTATTTATTGCAATAGTAAATTTAATTGCTAGGCACAGACTGTAGGTCACAGTGGCTGCGTCCAGAACTGAAGGCAATTTCAGTGTTGTGTGTCCACAAATTTAGAAATAAGTCTACACATTTGGGTATTCTTTCATTGCCTATATCACTGAGATATACATATGTGACATTTAACCTGTTTCAGTTTCAAAGGCATTAAAAAAACACATCTGGGTGACTTATTACTGGGTTACTGGGGAAATAATGTAGCTGTTGCTTATTAGGGGGCTGGGAAAAAACTTTCTTACTCAGAGGGTTTGTGCTTATTACATTTTTGAAGTTCTGCATGAAAAGGAGTGCCTAAGTATATATTATCTCTTATTTATTGCAATAGTAAATTTAATTGCTAGGCACAGACTGTAGGTCACAGTGGCTGCGTCCAGAACTGAAGGCAGTTTCAGTGTATTTCAGTGTTGTGTGATGTGTTTTTGTATATGAAGGTCTCCCAGGGCACCATAATATCACGTCTAATGATCTATAAAGAATTCCAGTGAGCTTTGGGGATAACCAAAAAATACAAATTTGTGACTACAAATACTCATAGAAAAGGAAAATTCTTTCAATCACTTTATCAAATGCCATTTGTATTTCAATGATTGCTGGTGTTAATTAGTTTCTATTATATTTTTTATTAATATTTCAAATTACCTTTTATATTTTCAGTTTACATTTGAAATTTATTTTTAGTGCTTTTGTCATCTTTATTGTTTTTTTATTTTTATTAAAATAATCACAAACATTTTTGTCTTGTTTTATTTCAGTACTTCATCTTAAACCTATTGCAGTTAGTTGCCAAGGCAACATTTCCCATTTTTGTTTGTAGTTTTTCATCTAATATTTGTATTTTATTTCAGAATTATTTCAATTAACAAAGATGTTTTTATTAATAGTTTTGGTTAATGATAACAGCACTGCTTCCTACCCTTGTAAAATGCCTGAGAAGGCACAGTCAATGTGACAAAACTGCATTTTGAAACATATTTTTTCGCATTCAGATGCAGCCGGTGTCTGGTGCATTGTGGGGATTTAAGGCATTGAACTTGGGATCCTGCCTTTCAACTATATATCGGTTTTGCACTGGACGCTTTTGACTCTTAGCTTTTTTTATCTCCTCTGTCCTCTACACTAGACTACTTTCCAAGCCATCATCCTTCCCTTCTTCCTCTACTAGATACTGTGTCTATTCTCCTGTTGTGTCATTCGTTTACCATCACCTGACTCTTTGGAAAGGTAGTTCTAGACGGATCTGCCTGTGAATTCAATCTGTTTTCCACCTGCAGTCAGGGGCTCTGCAGAGCTTGCTTCGTAAACCCCACGCTCAAAGCTTTTGCCAGCTGCTTCATCAATGCCCGCCCGCATTGTCAAGCCAGAATGATTCATCACCTCATCCCAGCTTGGTTTTGTGACATTGACTGTTTTCCCCATTACAGCACTATGGTACGAACTTTCTGTTATTAGCCAGTAAGCGTCTTCGTAAAATACATTGGTGGACCCCATGCAACAACCCAGCAGTAATAGCTTCTCTCTGAAGCTGCAGAGTTGTTTACCTCCAAAGCAATTTTGCTCGTCGTCCTCCACACTTTCTAAATGAAAGTATTTATCTTGCTGGTTGTGTACAAGTCCTCACATTTGTTACTAATTTGATGGGGCAAATTCTCCCAGGATTGGCTATGAAGATATGCACAGTCCAAAGATAATAGCAAACGGTTCCTTAATGAACCAGGCAAACTATTGTGCCTGTGCTAAAGTACTTCTGTAACTGCTTTTCAGATCATTAAAAAATTCCCTTAACTGTTGGTTCCCATTCCACTGCGTCTTCTCAAAGACTCCATGATATCAATAAACATAATAGTTTAACAGAACCCCCCAAAAAATCTCTTCTATGCAACATGAATGGAGAAATTCTGAAGAATAGATTGATGGCTCTTTTAATATACAGGCACAATGAATGGCAACTGGAGCTTTAAATATTCACAAAGCACCATAGAAGTGTAATAAAAGGTCTATATAACTCTGTATTACATAGAAACCTTATAATAGTTTTGTGGGAGCAAAAGAAAAATGAAATTCAAGGTGTTATTCAGTGATGCTTTAAATTCAGGATAAATTGAGTGAGTTGACTTTGTGAATCAGTCCAATTCATGAACAAATGATTCATGCTGGTTTAGTAAACTGAATGATGAATCAAAAGATTTAGAATAAATGGAGAAAGACTCAATTCACTAAAACATTGGTGAGTCCATTGACCAAAAACTTTGCTTTGTCATCTATAAACACAACAAGATTTTCAATGAATTATGACTTTTTGGTCTGTTCCTCAAAAACTATATTGAAATGTGTTCGGAAAACTTCAAATACAGTGCACAAGTCTCTTTTATGGTGTTTTTGAATCCTTTTTGAATCCTCTTGTAACCCCCATTCATGGTAATTGCATGGAAAACAGCAGCTTGAACATTCATAAAAATATCTAATTTTGTGTTCTACAGCAGAAATAAAGTCATATGGGTTTGGAACTGTGTAAGAATGAGAAAATAATGAAATTATTGTAATTATTGGCTGAACTATCCCTTTAAGATTCAAAGATCATGGAGTTTGCACTGAATGGGTGGAGCTCGTTTTTAACTAATGAAGACAGAGTGCCGGAGGAGATATGCACTCTGCACAGAGAAATCCAATTCTATTAAAGCAATATTATATATATGCAAAGAAAGTCTACTCAATTATGCTTCCACTTGGCTCAGGACCAGCAGGATGTCTGAGAAAGTCAACTTTTATGGCTCGGAATGAAAGAGAAAGAAAGACGTAGGCTGTCCTATCCACGTGTCGATTTATGTATATGGGCTTTGCCAAGCTCTCGTGGCCTTCCTGAACAGTTTAATGGCTTTCCGCTTTGTGCCTCTGCGGGGCCTGTATTTCACAGCTACCAATAAAGCCATGGTGGGACACGTTTATAGATGTTTTGATTACTTCTCCTTAAAGATTACCTTGTCTTATTCTTCTGGTGGCATCTTGAAGAATAAGACAAGATAATATTTGGCTGCTTAGACTACAGATTTGGCTCAAATAAACAAAAAAATAGATTTTTCTAGCCCAAAAAAGCCAGGTTAATTCCTAAGAAATGCATTTGAAGATCACCATGGCCACCACATGAAGTTTTACTGTAGAAACCGGATCAGATGATACACAAAGCAAGTGTTTACTTCATGCAATTGTTCCAGTTGGACACTTAGCTTGTGTCAAGATTGGTATTCACCTGGCCAGACCAATATGAGCAGGCAAAGTGCAGAAACTGTGAATGAGCCATGCTATTTATCACGGTTAGCCCAAATAGCAGTGCAAGCACAAGAGAGGAAACTATGACAAATCAGCTACCAGTGGCAACCACAGTGCCACTAGGAAGCAGACAGAAGATGGCTGTCTTTTCTGTTCTATGTCATAATGTAGCTTGTCTGACAAATAAGAACTGTCCTATCCACGTGTCGATTTATGTATATGGGCTTTGCCAAGCTCTCGTGGCCTTCCTGAACAGTTTAATGGCTTTCCGCTTTGTGCCTCTGCGGGGCCTGTATTTCACAGCTACCAATAAAGCCATGGTGGGACACGTTTATAGATGTTTTGTTTACTTCTCCTTAAAGATTACCTTGTCTTATTCTCCTGGTGGCATCTTGAAGAATAAGACAAGATAATATTTGGCTGCTTAGACTACAGATTTGGCTCAAATAAACAAAAAAAATGGATTTTTATAGCCCAAAAAAGCCAGGTTAATTCCTAAGAAATGCATTTGAAGATCACCATGGCCACCACATGAAGTTTTACTGTAGAAACCGGATCAGATGATACACAAAGCAAGTGTTTACTTCATGCAATTGTTCCAGTTGGACACTTAGCTTGTGTCAAGATTGGTATTCACCTGGCCAGACCAATATGAGCAGGCAAAGTGCAGAAACTGTGAATGAGCCATGCTATTTATCACGGTTAGCCCAAATAGCAGTGCAAGCACAAGAGAGGAAACTATGACAAATCAGCTACCAGTGGCAACCACAGTGCCACTAGGAAGCAGACAGAAGGTGGCTGTAGCTTTTCTGTTCTCAATGTCATAATGTAGCTTGTCTGACAAATAAGAATCATCTTGTTGCTTGATTTCCAAAACATACTATCAAGCTTGAGTATCTGTTTATGTAAGAAGTATTTTTTTCCTCTGTTTTTTTTTTTTGCTCTGGATGCTTGCTGTAAAATTCATCAGAGCTTCATCGAGTTGAAAGGATGTGCTTTGATGTGCTCCATCTGAAGGTGACATCACACCGCTGTAATGCAGCATATGGTGAGGTGCCTTTAAGGTCAGCAGACATGTGCTCTCTTTGAGCCGAGCAGAAAACATGATTATTTCTTCGGTCCGAGAACTATCTAACATTTGGAGATTGAATTGTCAGATACACCTCATGAACTTTATTGCTGACAGTTTGCTCTCAGCTAGCTTGTTCAAACCTAGCTCATTCTGATTGACATCCTTAAAGCAATTTCTTTCCTCTTTTAGACTGCTAGTGCTGTAGTACCTACCATCGAGACTGAATCTTTGACCTTTCTCCATCTTTCGACAGACAAACCTCTCTCTTTTTAATTTGAATGTGGAAATAAAGCTCTAATTTGGGTCTTTCAGGTCATATTAGCTGAATAAAGAGGCATGTAAAAAGGCATTAGAGATGTTTTTCCCACCACACTATACATAGTCACACTTCAATATATATTCCTTGTTAAAATATGCATTTGTATAATAAATATCCAATTATATCATTATGATTGCATATTTCAAATGCATTATATTTTGAATCTTTGTTGAAAATACAAATATTTGTGAAGATATATTCTCTCTCTCTATCTATCTAATTACTCATTTATTTACAGATGAAAAGGCATTAGAGAGGGTTTTTTCCCCTTACAGTATATAACCCCAGTTATGCATTTGTCTGGCCATTTTTTTAATTATATTTAAAAAATATATGAAAATAAATATATTTAGTCTGTTCTCTCTCTCTCTCTCTCTCTATATATATATATATATATATAAATTCAAAAAATATATTATATTTACATACATTTATATTTATTTACAAAAATACATATTTTGTATTTTAAATTATTTATTGTTGTTATATTTTTTATAAATGTATTTATTGTATAGGCTTTGAGATAGTCCATCATGTTAATCAAGTTCTCAAGTTATCAAGCTGCTCTGTCAATTGGAGCTTGCAGGGTTGATCTCGAACCGTAACAACCCACCACAGAAAACCTCTGGAACCGTCTGTCCGACATGGACACATGCTCGGCATCTCAATGCGTGAAAGCTTAAAGAACAGACCCCCACAGGGCAGCATAGAACAATTCCCCATCACTGGCAGGCTGCACAGAGCATCAGAATTGATGATGATTAAGCTGGCCCACCATCTGGAAGGCATATTAAGTAGAAAAGTGAGCAGGATTAACAAAAGAGTTTATTTGTCTTATTCGAAGTGAAAAAGACACGACCTTCCAGTCTGTCTGTGATGCATTAAGTGAACATGAATCACCCTGAGCTCTTACTAAGAGAAAAATGATCTGGCGCGTCACTCGAGAAGTTTGATATCACACCTCCAGATGCTCCTGGTGGGTTAGCGACCATATGACATGTGATTATGCACTCACATTTGTCCCCTGTGCACCAGAATATGACTAGAGCTGCTAAAAAGGTCTATTTCACACTGACGTAATGTCTCTGTTCCAAATCCTAGAGAGCTGGCAGCATTTTTATGCTATATATTTATTAATTTATAGTAATATAGAGAGGTTTTTACTATTATGTAATATATATAACTATTGTTTTTATTGAAGAACATACAGATCCTGAAACATCTGCATTCACAAAATAGTTAAATCATGGTTAATTTGTTTAATATATCAATAACTTAACCATGTTCTCCTAATAAAAAGTTTAAAAACAAGCAGTTTTGTCATTATTACAGCAGATATACAAGAGAGAAAAGATTACAGTACTGTATATGAGGGGAGCTTTGAATATTGTGTTGGACGATGGGGGGCTTTAGAGTCAAAAAGGTCGAGAACAACTATCCTATACTTCCCTAGTGGGAAAAAAAAACAGCTTAAACCAAAGCTTAAGCTTATTTGTTGGTCTTAACCACTAAGACAAGTAAACCATTCAGGCTGGTTCAGAGTGCTTTCTTTATGGTTAAAGATTGTCATTTTTATATATGTACTATTATTTGCTGTGAGACTATCGTCCACCTGGTTCTGTGGAAAATGAGCATCTCCATTGTCAGTCATTGAGTGGCATCTTTTGCAGTGTCATCATGTCATTCTCAGAGCTGGAAAATTGTAAAATAGACAACACAACCATCAGTTTCGACTTGACTGGACTGACAAGTACTTGTTCATGCTACCAAAAGCAGCTAGTTCTTCACCAACATGCAAAGAGGCACTACAAGTCAATACAAAGCTCTTGCTGTGTCATCAGATTTTCTCTCTCCAACTTTAAAGACACTTTTGTCAGCAAGGCGGAACCTTTAGAAAGTATTGTACCTTTAAAAAACTTCTAAGTTGTTAACTAAGAATGACTCAGAGTTAGATAATTAGCTGTGATGCCTACAGAAAATGAGTGAGATTTGCCATTAAACAAGTTTGATTGTTCTCTTCTCTCTTCACAGCTCCTTCCAGTAGGAAGCCCGGAGATGCACTCATCATCTCTGACATAAAAAAAGGCAGCGTGGCGCACAGGTACCGCCTTGCATCATTGTCTTGCACCATATCTCCTTTAAAATGTACTCTTAAATTCCATAGAAACGCTAATCTCCTGCATAATAACTCATACAGCCTCTAACGCAGCTACACCCGCCAGCATCTCTCGCTTTGCTATATTAAAGAAAAAAATACATAATAGATGGATTACGTTTTCTACCTGACTGCACAATATTTCACTCAACAAAACGCGCTCTAAAAACATAACATCCTCCGATCATTTTGACTCAGCACAACTTAAAAAAAATAAATAAAATGCAAAAAAGAAAGTTTTTAAAATAATTGTGCTTGCTTTGAGTTGCCTAACATAATTTATTTTCGTATTTTGCATGATATACACTTTAAAAGTTAGGGGTCAGTAAGTTTTTTTTTTTTTTTTAAGAAACTGATACTTTTATTTAACTTTTTATTTAACGCATTCAATTGATCAAAAGTGACAGTAAAAAGACATTTAGAATGTTACAAAATTATTACATTTCAAATAAAAGTTGTTCTTTTGAACTTTCTTTATCAAAGATAAATCCGGGGGGATAAAATCCACAAAAAATATAAAACAGCACAACTGTCAACATTTATAATAAGAAGAAATAAGCACCAGATCAGCATATTAGAATGATCATGTGACACGGAAGACTAGAATAATGGCTGCTGAAACTCCAGCACTGCATTTCTAAACTCTCATCCAAATTAGCACTTCACCCATGCCTTAAATAGCTTCAACTAGACCCAAATGGCTAATATAATGACATCTGCACACAGAATTGAGCATTACTATGAGCGTATTATTTCTGCATCGACCTGTGAAAGCGTACTTATGCATATAAATGCTAATTTTCTCCAGGCTACAGAGGAGGGCTTCTGATTGAGTGCGGCTGGGAGAATGTGTAACCCTCCATATTGACATAAATCTCAGCGGCTGCCCTGAGGAAAGGTGTAGAGTGCTGTTTGACTGCATTTTTGTTGATTGTGAGGTCTGTGCGGGGCTGTTCGCAATAATATCTAATCTACCTGTACTGACTAGCTTAGTTTTTTTTTTTTATAACAACTTTTCACTCATAGCTCGAGATATAGTACAGTATAAAGTTTCAGGTTGGTAAAATGTTTCATTTATTTCAAGGAAATCTCTTATGTAAGTCTGCATTTATTTGTTAAAAAAGTAAACAATATTGTGAAATATTATTACTATTTAACAAAGTCCAACAAAGCTGGAAAAAAAAGAAAAAATTCTCCACGGCAATAGTTAGGGTTGTTGGGGGAAGCTGTATAATTACCTCTCTTTCAGCACACAAACTCTAATTTCCCATGCTTTTACATAATAGAACATATGTTTACCTGATAATTATGCGAGGAGGAGAGAGAATTGGGTTGTGAACCGCTGTGTACACAGTGGAGTGGTTAAATACGGGGTCTGTCCGTCTTTGTATTCCTCATGTTAGATGGCCTTGGCTCTCGCAATCTTTCACATCTTGCTCTCCTCCATTTCAGCTCTATTAAAAGAGCCTAAAAATAAGTGAGCCATTTAATATGAAGAAGTAGTGGAATAATTGTGAATTCAGGCAGGATTACATCTCAGAGTCTAATCTGAATATAGAACGACACACAATATGCTAAAAGTCATTTTTTTTGCATCGGATCTACGTCAGCCCCTCTGGCTGCTCTTTACTGTGTACCATGGTCAATACACTGAATAATGGATGTGATTTCTTGCAGAATGTGAGCTCAGACTACACCGAAATGTGTAAATGTCTGTGCAAGGGAGAAAATAACCTTTCTGCAAAATATCACGAGATGAAATGGAGATGTATTAGTTTAAAAAATCTGAAACATTTGTGCTTGTAACTGTTTTTTCTTGTTCTCATTCAAAGGACGGGCACCCTGGAGCTGGGGGATAAGCTTCTGGCAATAGACAACATCCGTCTAGATAACTGCTCCATGGAGGATGCCGTTCAAATCCTACAGCAGTGCGAAGACCTGGTTAAACTCAAGATCCGCAAGGACGAGGACAACTCAGGTACCTCTGAGCCTCTGCAACTACAATCCCCACACGGATTCAAATCAACACTAAAAACCCCCATGCAAGGATAGAAGACCTCATTAGAGATGTCCAATGCAAACGTTTGTTTGCCAGGATCAAGATAAATAATGAGCTATTAAAACCTGACTGATTAGCTTACTCTAATTTAATCTGGTTTTAAAGATATGGCAAGGACAGAAAAAGGACGAGATGAGAAAAAACATGGCAGCATTATTAGCTATGAGTCCCTTAAGGACAGAAAACAGATATCAAGTTGAGCTGTGCTGTACAGAGATGAAACAGTTATATCTTGATATTTTTCACCTTACATAACTACATAATTGTGTATATTTATACTAATAATATATTATGTATTAATATAGTAAACAAAAAATAAAGCAATTTTTTTATGCAAATGATATATATTAATTTGAAAAATAATATAAATATCTAAATATATCTATATAATTTTTTTATCTGACTTGAAAAAAGGAACTGAAGAACATATTTGATTGTCTGTCCTGAGTGAATTGTTGAATCAAAGTAATGACTTGATTAATTGAAACGGAAATGAATTGATCTTTCCAGCTCTTACTCTGTTTTTGCTGCTGAAGTCCAAATCTGAGATAGGATAGAGAGACGAGCAGTCTTTTCAATCTGATATTTAGTTTATCTGAAATTATCCGAATTTAGTTTAATGATACTCTCTTTAGAGAACTTAATGGAGAGTTTAAAGCACATTAAAAACATCATAATATGCACAGTGTTGCTTAAAGGTCAGGGTTTTAAATGAATAGTACTTTAGAAAGATGGCTGACAGTCAAAATTGAACATAAGAGTTTTATTTTACAAGGAGCCAAGATATTGAGATTACATAGCTAATTAATGCTAACCATTTATGGGTCAAGACTGTTATTTCAAACGTTCGTTCACAGAATAAATTAATCATAGCTTTTATTTCGCCTACAAAATCATGAATATATTCGACCAATCTGAAAATATATCGCCCATCCTCAGTGCCTACTTACTGCTTGATCATTTTTTTTAATAGATTAAAGTATGGTGTTCCTTGCTGACAGCCTTCTTTTTACAAAGATAATTCAGCCAAAAAATTAAAATGTCATACTTTACTCAATCTTATGTTGTTCCAAACCCAAATGACTTTCTTAAATACAACTAGCCTCTATTTTACGCTGAGGTAGCCCATGTTGAGACTGTGAGGGTTTGAAGTGGCTCTGCTGCTGGAAATGTCACAGATCTTCATTATCTCCGAAGGACCCTCTGGTAAACCTTTCGCTTCTTCTGCTGGGCTACAGCAACATACACATCTCCCCTCGCTCCCGCAACCTCACAATTCATCCTTAACACTATTAGCATTGTACTCATAGAAGAAAATTAGGTTTAATCGTTCCAATTTAATGCTCGTTTGGTTCAATTATCTGATTAGAAACCCTTAGAGCCCTCATCCAGCTTTCCCCAAAGCATTACCCACAATCCTTTGCTACAGAGGCGTTATGCTCGTACTACAAAGCAGAACTGCGAATCACTTTTATCTGGCATTCATATTTCATCCAGGACATCCATTGTGCCTGTGAAATGGCACCTTGTGTGTTTCAGTTCCTCACGTCCAAAGCCAGAGGCTCGTTTAGATCTTTCTCGCTGGGAACATTAAGGTCGACATTCATATTTTACAAGCCTTTTTTTTTTTTAGAGCTGTGACAACAAATCATCAGTCTGAGAGAGGCCGTGCTGACTGGCGTGCTAAATGGGGGTAATTTCCCTCCCATCTCTCCATTAGTCCATCATCAAAAAAACAAAGGCGTAATGAGCCAACCTCGTGTTAACGAACATCCCCAGACCCCCAGCGTATACAGATACACACACAAACGAATGCAGCTAGAGCTGCTGTGATCTGACAGATATCAGCGCTTCATATGTGGATGCGGGTGGGAGATGACAACGATTGCCCTGAGGATCTGCGAGTTTTCCTCTATTTTTCTCTTTCTCTTTAGCGCATTTCCTTCTCGGCATAGCCATGTCAAAATGGGCAGGTTGACCTCTTAATTGATGTTGAGCGTTATGAATCAGCGCCACAAATATTTTATAAAACACTTTAAAGTGGATTTCGCTGTTGCTGTAGCCACGTCTGTTTTTGCTGAGTGCATGCGAAATGAGTTCAGTCTTATAATTAATTTACATTATGATTCCTGTAGCTCAGCTGGTAGAGCAACTAGCACGAGAATCCCCCGAGGACACACATACTGATATCATCTACAGCTTGAATGCACTTTGGGCAAAATGAAATGTCTGTCATCTGACATTTAGTCTTTTGAAATGCATTGTGGGTCCAGGATATGGAGGTTTAGTTCTCCTTTGGATGATAACGTGTATGATTTGTAGAGGTAGGTGCAGTATCCATTTTTGAAATGGATCACGGATGCAATATCCCATTTTTTTGTATTATGCATTTGAATATCTCCATTTTGCCAATCCCTTGTATTTTCTGTTTCTCATTTTTTGCTTTTTTTTCCTGGATGCACCACTTCTATTATCTTACATCATTCTTCTCTCCAATTGGCTTTACTTCCTTTCCCATTCTTTCCGCTTTCCATTACTCTCTAGTTTATTGCTTTTTGTGAGCATAATAGGTTGTTTCTCTCTTTTACTTTGGTTGTTTTTTTTGGGTTGTCAATCAATTATCAATTTTAATCCAATTAATGACATGATGTGCTGATTAATCAAATTATATATATGCAATCTGAAAATTACATATTTATAATAACAATTTATAATAATAATATATGTATAAATTTGTTATATTTTGTAATTATAAATTATCTTCAGCAAATGTATATTTCTGATTCAAATATAATTAATATTGCAATTGTGTGTGTGTGTATTGATATGAAATTGCAATATTAATTATATATCATAAAATATATAATTTATGATATATTTATAAATTGAATACATTATCTTCAGCAAATATTTATAAATGTGATTCAAGTCTTTTATATTGCAATTATACATCTATATATAAATTATCCAAAAAAATCTTTAAATATAAAAATAAAAAACATGGCAGATGGCATGCTAAGGTAGTTGCTAATTGTAGGACTAAGTGAATGGTCAGTTCTGCATTAAATTGACAGCCCCAGTATTTTTATCCCATTTCTATTTGTTTTCTTTCGGTTCCTTTTCCTTCATGTTTTCTCTCCACGGATATCTTATTTTCTGGTCAATACTCCTCCATCCTCCTTCCATCCCTCCCCTCCCTACCTCCTCTCTCTGTCCGGTGTTGTGAGGGGTGTCTTCGCTCTGCTCTCTGCCCCTCTGTGAGGTATCCTACGTGATGGCAGTGTTGATAGGGACGCCCGTGTGCTGTTGGCCTGTGTTGCAGACGAGCAGGAGAGCTCTGGCGCCATCATTTACACAGTGGAGCTGAAACGCTACGGCGGGCCGCTGGGCATCACTATCTCGGGCACCGAGGAGCCCTTCGACCCCATCATCATCTCTAGCCTCACTAAAGGTGGCCTGGCCGAGAGGTACATTCTGGCAGTCTTCAAGCCTGTCAGCAGTTAAGAAATATCACATTTAAGATGCATATGTCTTGTATATCTCTTTATAAATATATACTATACAAATATAAAATATTCTTTTATATATAAAAACACTCAGAAATGACTGAATATGTTAATTAATTACCTGGAGGCAACATAAGAGATTAATTGCAATTAAGTATTTTAATCTATGAACAGCCATAGTTCATTAGAATTAAATCATGTTTTCAACAACAAAAAAAAGGAAATGGAATTAAAAAAAAAAAAAAAAAGGTTTTAAAATGACACATTGCAGTTGCCCTTCAAGAGTGAGTTGGTGTGCTCTGGTGTCCACAGGACCGGTGCCATCCACATTGGTGATCGCATCCTGGCCATTAACAGCAACAGTCTGAAGGGCAAACCTCTCAGTGAGGCCATCCACCTGCTGCAGATGGCAGGGGAGTCCGTCACACTGAAGATCAAGAAGCAGGGAGAATGTGAGTGCTGACATGCACACTTACGGCCTAATGGCTTTTTATTTGTACACTACAGGGGCCCGTTTCAGAAAGGAGGTTAAGTGAAAACTCTGAGTATGTTAACCCTGAAATGAGGGAAACTCTGGGTTTTCCGTTTCAGAATGGGAGGCATGTCAAACCCGAGAAAGCAGGGTAAGTCAAGCCCGTTTCTGAAAGGGAGGTAGCTTATACCCCGAGTCAGTTACCATGGTAACTTACTCTGTGAACCTAACCTAGTCAGGAGCACGTTTTCTTCTGTAAACCCAGAGTTTCTTACGGTCTCCTCCCCCTTTTTAAAGTGCAATATACAAAATTTTGTATACAAAATATACAAAATGTTTAAATACTTTCATGCACGCTGCAAAAATGCTTTTCTTACAAAGTATTTTTTCTTATTTCAAGTACAAATATCTAAAAATTCTTAAATCAATATGGATTCTCTATATAAGAACATTATATAAGATATTTAGTCTTGTTTCCTAGGGGGGTGGGGGTCTAAGTGCATTTTACTTAAGTAAAATCATCTGCCAGTGTGGTAATAAAAATTATCTTAATGCAAATAGAAAACAAGATTATTCGGAGTGTCTATTACTAAGTACAAATTTACAGTAGCGCCGCCCTCCAATGTCACACAAGGTTAAATACGACGGGCGAGAGTAACGGCTACAGTGGTGTAGGCAGTAACGCGTTGGGCGCGGAGAACTAGCTTGTGATGGGATTTACCGGGTTAAAATCCGGCATTTGCCGTGCTCGCTCTTCTCACTTTTCCCATCACATTAGAATTTATTTTCAATAAAAATGAAGAAAATAAAGAGTGTTTAGTAATGATAAAAGTATTTATAATTGTAATAAATATAATCATTTACACTCTTGTATTATTATTGCATCCTGTTAATGTACAACAATAATGAGGTGCAAATAGTATGTATCTGCCAGTATAAATAGCATCTAATTATTATTTACACTTATTGCAAAGAACTGCACACTACTTTTACATGGTAAATAGAATATATCACTATTTTCACTAAGTGTAAATAGCATCTAGAGCTATATGCACTTAGCCTAATGTAAATAGGATCTATCGCTAAGAAAGTATGCTAATTTCACTTAGTGTAAATAGCCGCTGCCGTATTTTTCTTACCCTATTGGCAGATAATTTGCAAGATAAGAAAAATGCACTTAAATTATTCTTATTATTAGGCCTATTTTAATTTTGAATAGCCTATTAGTTCAATAACCTACCATTCTGCCAGTTTTCACCTGTGATATTATAACAGTGATAAGAATTAAACTCGTATTGACTCTGAAGAATGCAGACATCTTTTTGTCGGGTGCTGTTGCCATGGTGAATCGTAATATCGGAGCTCCATTGATCATGGCTTTTCATAGTCGTGGTGCACGCACTAAACTCAGAGTAAACCTACTCGGAGTTGATTGAACTAATTCAATTCAGCTGTTCTGAAACCGAAAACTCAGAGTTTCCCATCTCAGAGTAAGTCAACTCAGTTCAAGTTTTAACTCCGAGTTGGTTGAACCTCCTTATTGAAACGGGCCCCAGGTCAAAAGTCTGAACTCACTTCTCATAAAAACCTTCCAAGCTAAAGGCTTATGCTAAAATACTTTAATTTTGTGTACAAATACATAAATGGTGCCTGCGTATTGAATCTAAATTTTATTAATTATTTATTATTATAAAAAAAAATGTTAATATATTTTTTATTTATTAGATTTTTTTTATATTTATTTATTTATACTGAATAGAAAAGATTATATTGTGTACCTTTTTTGGTTACTTAATTCTCATACTTCTGTTTGTGTTATTCTCTAATTTAAATTATTTACTTTTTTTTTAAACATTATTTGTCGTAATATATTTCCAAGACTTTTGATTGGCACTTTCTTTCACCGTAATGTTCTCTATCACGCTTTCTCACACCCATTAACTCCCAGAGAACTGTACATCTTTGTAGCTCTAAAAAGCAATAAAGCTGCCTAGCCGTGAGTCATTAAAGCCTAAGGTCTGATTAGTTTTGTCTCCATCTATCATATACTGTAGACTGACAGTAGACAAGGTAAAGTTCCTTATCCAAGAACAAAAGATCAAATGAGGACTGATTTGTGGGCCCAATTTCCAGTAAAGTCTGGATCTCTCTGGTCTGTTGACTGTGATACATGGGCTGAGTCAATCATCTTCTTTATTTCCTTCTTTCTATAGTGGCAAGCCCGAAGCAGCCCTCAGTAACGGGTTGTTTGAACGATCTGAGCGATATGGAAGATGATGGTCAGAAACCCAGTAAACTCTCAGACATCTATTCCACCACCATTCCCAGCGTGGACAGTGCAGTGGAATCCTGGGATGGCTCTGCCATTGATGCCACCTTCAGCACCCAAGGTAAATTTGAATGTGGTTTTAAAAATGTTTTAGTACTTTTTACGAAATGCAATTAGTGTTTCTACCTTTCAGGTTTTGAATCAACTTTATCGCAGTAAATATGTCTCAGTACCCTCTAGGCAAAAATCTACTTGGAGCTACATTATTTCAGCCTTACAATGTGAAACCAAAAATTACTTTTGTAAATTGTTTAAATTATATCTGCCATTTAGAATGTTCCAGCAGGCATTTCAGTTTCTAATTGCAAACGACATTTGTTTAAAAGGTTTCCGAAATGGTCAGTGACAAGCAGGTGTCAAAGTTGGTTTCTAGTTAATAAGTTGGAGTAGAAATGATCCCATTCTAACTTGAGGGAAATATTGTCATGATAACCTCAAAAGAATAGTTTACTCAAAAATTCAAATTCTAGCATAATTTTTTCATGTCATTCCATGTTTCTTCTATTTCCGAAAACAGGAAAAAATAGGTTTAGCAAAAAGTTTTTGCAATAAAAACGGAGCTCCAAAAATGACACCCATAACAAAATTCACCATAGCACTGGATATATTCAAACGAAGCACATAATCACGATTTGAATGTTGTCAAATGCAAATGAGATTTGAGATCGTATGACTTCAGAAAACGTATTATTATAAGTTGTGCAATCACTTTCATGGTGCTTTTAAAACATTTTTGTTATCCTTTTTTGGAGTGTAACAGTTCTCGTACCCATTCACTTATTGTATAAGTTGCACTTGCATATATTCAAAGAAATCACATGATGATTTGAGTATTTGCAAATGAGATTTGAGATTGTATGGTTTCAGTAGACTATATAGCTCAAAAGTTGTGTCAATCACTTATGGATGTTTTTGTTGTCTTTTTGACAACATAATGACATGAGAGTGAGTAAATAATGACAGAATTGGTCCCTTTAATATCACAATACCAACTTTTTAAACCTGGTATGGGTTCCTCACGGTCACCATGGTTACACCACCTGTGCTTTCACATTAGCTACATCCCCAGCAGTGTTGATCCCATTGCATCCTGGGTGTTTGGATGAGTCCCAGCAGGTCTAATGTAGGTTTAATTGAGTTTTCCATTCTCTTTGGACCTGCAGATATGTATTTACTCAAGTAATTATTTGGAGTAATCTGCAGTGGGATATGTTTTGTTTTATTAGGCCAGCTGGTGGTACAGTGCTGGGGTTAATATGGAAAAATGCATTATTTTACTAAGTGGAAAAGGAGTCCTAATGACACTGGGATACACATGGTCATTTGGATAACTCGCCAGTAATGTGTCTGAATTGCAGTCAGCTCTCCTGACACTGAGGCCTCCTGGTCAAAACTAATGGCAATCATCACTTGCTCTGAGGATGCCAAGTAGGCACATCTCACATTTGTTTAATTCAGAGAAATGGTTCCTATTAATTTATGAATAATACATACAAGCATTGCTCCCACGCTTACCCATGTATATGCATATTAGTGAAAATAATTGCTGAAATAACAGTTTGTTTATTGATTCTCAAGGTTTAATTACAAAAAAAAATTTTCAAGTGTGAGTAAGATTTCTTCACCACAATTTTCCTTTGTAGATCATTTCAGTTTTAGCTATGCTAATATATATATATATATATATATATATATATATATATATATATATATATATATATATATAATTTTATTTTTCAATGTATACAGTAAATTTTCTGCCTTGTGCCAAATGCAAGTAACATTGTGATCTCGCCATTTTCATCTTAATCAAGAGCAACATAATGCATTTTGTCAAACATCTTATATTTTTTATTTTTGTTTGCAATAAGAATAATAATAATGAGTTTAGTTTTTTTTTTCTCCAATGAATCATTTAGCTATTTTAGCTCAATTGAAGTTTATAATTATTATTATTAATATATAGCTATTTTCATTTAGCAATTTTAGTTTGGTTGAATTTAAATTAAAAACATTTATTTTGTTTGTTTGTAGTAATGATAATAATTCATATAAATATATTTTAGTTATTTTCTTCAATTAAATAATTTAGCTATTTAAGTTACATTTAATTTATATTGAAAATATTTTTGTGAATGAATACAATGAATACCCAAGCACTATTTCCTTCTGGAGATGCAAATCTAGGTACGAATATAATTTGAATCTAAATGATTGTCAATCAGTGAGCAAAACTTGTCCCTAATTTCCATTCATAACAATGTCATCAGTCATTTTCAATTTATAGTGATGATTAATTCATCCCAGTGCTGCTGACATGCACCTCTTTAAAACCACCTTTCATCTTCGATGTTATTTTCCATGTCTCTCGCTCTGATGGGGTGGAAAGACACTTTCTGCTCATGTTAACGGGTTTATATGGTTGCTCTCCCTCCTCAGGCAGCGCTGCTCTCTTTCTCTCACTGTTCCATACATAAATTAATCTGAGATGGTTGCAGAGGTACGGAAACCATTCAGAGAGAGCAACAATCTGCCCCTTAAATCATGGATGATGTGGACAGAGTATATATTTAAGGTTGCTGGCAAACTGTTGGCTCTCATGGGATTCAACTAGTACAGCTGGATCCAGAGATAAGGCCAAAGCTGACTCTGAACTTGAAACCTGGGAAAGTTAAAGAAACCATATGTCTGACGTCTAATACGATTAATGGTCTACCTGTATGCAATATTCCATCTAATTTTTGTTCTTGCTGAGTAAAACATATTTCTGCCGGACAGAACCTTGGGCCACCTGATCTGAAACACTTACCAAACTTGTGTGTTATTATGTGAAATGTTTAATATAGGCTATTTGGTAGGCTGCTGCTGCTTCTTCATCTTATTTTATTATTTTATCCCAGAGTACATTTGTAGACTAATATTATTTATATTTTTTTTTCAAAAATATTTTGTTTAAAAATGTATAAATATTTTTATTTTGCAATTTTATTTAATTTTTTCAGTCATTTTTAACCATCTAAATATAGGCATCTCATATAATTATAATAATAATATTTAGCCTCTTTTGTCTTTTTGATATGTCTTTCTTGTCACGACCTTAAGAAAGCAAGGCATAAAAATAATTGTAATAATATAAAATAACATGCTTCTGTATGTGTATAATAGTCATTATTTTTGACATTTGGTGCCACTATGAACTCAGCACTGTTGTCCTTTACTCGCCATTCACGCTTCAATTAGCATTGTGTATTTTCCATACACATGATTTCTCACAGCCTTAATTCCATACTGAAAATCAGTGGACGACATGCAGTTAGACATTTTAACTCTGATTCGAGATGTTGCTGGTTTTGTTTGCCTTTTTGTGTCTGGCTCCTGCATACTGCTCTCTGCGTAGGAGCTACATCAGTAGCATACGGCTGCACATGCGCAGTTTAGAGGGATATTAATGTCTGAATGTACTTCTTTCCTTGAAAAAGGCACATGATTTCTCACAGCCTTAATTCCATACTGAAAATCAGTGGACATGCAGTTAGACATTTTAACTCTGATTCGAGATGTTGCTGGTTTTGTTTGCCTTTTTGTGTCTGGCTCCTGCATACTGCTCTCTGCGTAGGAGCTACATCAGTAGCATACGGCTGCACATGCGCAGTTTAGAGGGATATTAATGTCTGAATGTAATTCTTTCCTTGAAAAAGCGACGTAACAATAAAATACCTATCGAGAGAGTCTTATTAAGGATTCCTACACCTTCTCAAGCCCTGAGGGGTGAGCAAATCACAAGCAGTTAATCCTTATTGAATAGCTGGTGAATCTTAAAACCCTGAGGCTATGCAGCGCTTGGCGGTGGTCACAGAGGGAGAATCAGAGCAAAGCGTATGAAACACAATGCTGTGGCTCCCACCGGAGATGAGTGTGTGAACACAGGCAGCATGTTGTTCTCTGCGCTCCCTATAGTCGTCACCCTGCCCTCCAGCAGTCTTGAGCCAGATTAATGATGGAAGCCTGGGAACCTGTGCATCCAGGAGCTCCTGTGGCGGTGTTGTGTGAGAGTGCAGCATAATGCATACATGTACTCTCTCTTTTGGGAACAGTTTATTGGCATAGCTTTTTGTTTTTTCTCTCCGTCTCATTCACAGTCAAATTGATTTTTGCATTTTTCCTATATCAGCAGGCTAATGTTGTGTGCAGGGTACAAAAGTACTTGCCAAGTGCCAAATGCAAGTAACATTGTGACCTTGCCAGTTGGCTGGTAATTTCAGCATAAGCAACAGCAGTGCATTTTGTCAAACAACTTATTTATTTGTTTGTTTATTTATTTATATATATTTTTTTTTTATTTCAACTGAAATAAATATTTAAGTTCAATTGAATTTAGCTAAAAAAGTTGTGGCCTAATGGTTAGAAGAGTCGGACTCGTAACCCAAAGGTTGCGGGTTCGAGTCTCGTACCGGCAGGGATTGTAGGTGGGGGGAGTGAATGTACAGCGCTCTCTCCCACCTTCAGTACCACGACTGAGGTGCCCTTGAGCAAGGCACCGAACCCCCAACTGCTCCCCGGGGGGTGCAGCAAAAAATGGCTGCCCACTGCTCCGGGTGTGTGTTCACGGTGTGTGTGTGTGTGTGTTCACTGCTGTGTGTGTGCACTTTGGATGGGATAAATGCAGAGCACTAATTCCGAGTATGGGTCACCATACTTGGCCACATGTCACGTCACTTGTCACTAAAATAGCTCTTAATATTATAATTACTCTTATTATATTATTTGTTTCAATTTAAACATTTAGCTGTTTTTTCTAAATTGAATTTAGCTCAAATAGCTTGTTTTGGCCATCAGTGTTAATGTTAATATTATTATTATTATCAATAATATTTAATTATTTTATTTATTAGTTTTGTTTCAATGAGTCATGCAGCTATTTTAAATTGAATTTAGCCTTATATTATTATTATTTTCATGGAATAATTTTATTTCAGCTGAATTTAGCTATTATTATTTAGCTATTATAAAAGTATTATTATTATTATTACTATTAATTTTAGTTATTCGTTTTGTTTCAATGTAATAATTTAGCTATTTTATCTGAATTTAATTAAGCCTTATTATTATTTCAGTTTAACTATTTTGGTTCAGCTGAATTTATCTAAAACAGACCACTATTATATTATTATTATGGCTTGTACATTTTATCAGTTCACCCACTATTGGCAGAAGTAGCAAAACATACATTTTCGACATGTGTGTGTTTGTTTCAGCTCCCACAGGTTTCCAGGCATCGGGCTACAATTTCCACAGCCATGAGTGGAGGAATGCCAAGCCCAGCCGGGGCAGCCTCTCCCCGGGGAACAGCAGCCGGCAGAGGAACAACATCCTGCCGGACTTTGGACTCGGTGTGGATGAATGGGACAGGCCAAGTGCTAGCGGGTACATCAACATACTACTAGTAATTTATATTGAATAGTTTAAATACACATTCCAGCATATATAATGAATCTTCATTTTGTTATTTTTTATAGGAATAGTTCACTATTCACTCGTCATGTCGTTCCAAACCTGTATGCTGTTGTTTTTTATTCATGAAACATTTATGGACCTTGACAGTTGTGGTCTATCAGTTGTCATTGTGTTCGAAAGCTGCATGAAAGTTCTTCAAAGATTCTTCTTTTGTCAAGCAGAAAAAAGTCAAGGTTTGGAACAACATGAAAATAATGACAAGTAATGGATAAATATTGAGAGAACTTTCATTTTGGGATGAGATATTAATATATATTAAGGCCGCCAGGTCTATTGGATGGTTAATGTAATGACTTGAATTCATTGAAAGGATTTTAGACTACATTAGCAGAGTACACAAGGCTTCTGAGTGAAACGGATTGAAGCAATGAACTTTGCAGACATTATTATTCCATAAAAGTTATTACTACTTCTCTAAAAATGAAGTAATAAAGTGTCAATATCCATTGAGACATGGACTAGTTTAGTGCCAGACTCTACAGAAAGGCATTGTGTGAAGTCAATGCTGCTTAACCACGTCTATAAAAATGTTTTGTTGACTTCTCAAATTCATTAAATATTGTTAAAAGACAATCTTAGACGAGACCATCAAAATAATTTCTAAGTGAACTGACTTGAAAATTCACATTAAGTGGGTCTTCAGCAACATTTCTCTGAATTCTGTGTGTAATAGTCTTTGTTTCAACCCGAAATGTGACTCTCAGTCATAATAACTGATCTGCGCGGTACATCTGCAGCACATTGTATTGTCAAACGCACTGTTACTGGAGCTTTGATCGATCGTTTCTGGGGTGATTTCACTTTATTCTTTGTTAGCGCATACTGTTGGATATTTGTAATTCAGATTCATTGTGTTGTAGATCAAAGACGTAACGGGCCCCTATGCGCAGTAATGAAGCCAGCGGCTCTTAGGAAGGAAAGGGGCCTTTTTTAAGTATTTAGCTGGCACTAGAGTTATGATCACCCTTTGAGTTTTCTTCACAGGATTGTACAGTTCCCGTTTAATGGTGACTGTGAGCTGCCTTAAAGTCAACATGAAATCAAAGCGGACCTCATTGCTTACTTTCTTAATACACATACCTGGTCTTACTGTGCACAGTTAATCTGTGCATATTGTGCCAACATTTCACAATCCAGTTAAAACCTGACGAATAAAATCAGGGGTGTAGGAATGAACTGAAATAAATCAGCCTGGCTCATAAATATTAGTTAGCTGGCAGAGCTTTCATCCAGTAGTTGTAGCTGATTGGTTATGATAACCACTTATCAGTTGAGCATTTATTCAATTAATTGTGGATACAACCAATTGTCCAAAGGAATTGTTTTAGTATTAAGGTTGACATCAGTGTTATTTTAGTATTATTTATATGCTATCATGGTATTTATTATTAGTTTTTGTTATTATTATTATGTTTTCAGTTTTCATTTTAACTGTAGTTTAAGGTTTAGTCATTTTTTTTATTCTTGACATTTTTATTAGTTTTAGTTTTTTCATGTTTCTATTCAGCTTTAATTTCATTTAGTACTTCAACTTAAAGCTTTATTTAAATGTATTTATTTTCTATTTGGCTTACATTTCTTTTTTTGTTTCATTTTACTACTTCAGCTTAAAGCTTTATTTACATTTTTTAGCTTTTTTTTCTTTTTCATTTTAGTACTTTTACTAAATTTTTCATTCAATATTTATATTTTATTTTAATTCATTTTAAATGCGAAAAACAATTTTAATAGTTTTAGTTAACGTTAACAACACTGGTTGATGTTTTACACATATATAATAATAAAAACAAATGATCGCCAAACATTTTGGGAGATAATAATTTTATTTAAAGAATAGTAATTTGTTATTTTCTTTTTTTCTACTTTGCAATGTCTCTGTAAATCCCCAACCTACAATTTTTTTTTCACTCTAATATTGAGGTAAAATGGATTGCAATGCAAACCATTTCATGTTGACTTTAAACCACTACAAATTTAACTACAACAAATCATCTGGAAAACATGTCTATATCAGATACACTCTAGAACAGCAGGATAAAAACTCTTCTCTACGGAGAAGAAACTACTGTAACTTTAATGCATTCAGTCTTTTCAAATATTCTGCAGTCTGTATTTAAATAAGAAAAAACGCATAATGCAAAACTTCCCCCATCTTCTCCAACACAAATTTCTTTAGCATTTGAGAATGGTATTATAATGCTTTTTAAATGAATTGCCCTCAAAATGTCTTATATACAAGATGTGAAGTCTAAAACGCTGCTGTTAAAAAGTGACTGAGTGAACTGGTTTGACGTTTGTGTTATTGATTGAAGCTGATCTCCCATTACAGGGCATCCACGCTGCCCACCGGTTTAATCTCAGACAGCAGGTGAGGTTCAGTGCTGTGTGCCTGTTAACCTGCACTGCTTCCCCAAACCAATCCGGCCCTTTCACTTCATAACCCAAAGCCCCACGATCCACCAGGACATCACCGTCCATCACAGTGTGTCCGACCGCACCGGGTGTGTGTGTGTATGTGTCTCTCTTCAAGAGCCCCACCATAGCCTGCACAGATCATTGGTCGTCCCTTGCGTTCATCACTGTGACGCCTGCCTGCTCATTGACTGCTGCTGTTTTGATGTACCAGACGGTTAATACGTCCCTTTTGTGTTTCAAACAGGTTCACTGTGGGACATGACGGGACTGAGCCTGACCAGGAAGAGAACTTCTGGTCCCAAGCGCTCGAAGACTTGGAGACGTGCGGCCAATCCGGGATCCTGCGAGAACTTGAGGTAGCGCGGGGAAGAAAAATGGCATTCGTTTGTGTTCATCCCCCTCTCCCCACGTTCATCCTCTAGCTCTTTCCATTCATCAACTCCCCCTACACAATCTTTTTTTCAGTAGCATGCTGTACCAACCCGGGTTTTGTGTAACAGCTCCTTCTTTTTCCAGGACAAGCCAGACAGGCTTCTGAATAAGAGAAACCTGGCCATCTTGGTACCCCTTTCCTTTCTTTGGGCTTCCTATTTGCTTGTAGCGCTGGCACCCAAGTGCTCTCCTCATGCTAATGGGCTCAGTGTCTCTTACTGGGGGCCTGCTTGAAAGGGGGGTGGGGCTCACAGACAACCACTACTGGCATCCACTTCAGATCCTACGGGTGCATTCAAAACTAATTATGACATGTTTAAGGTGTAGTTCACCAAGATTCTGTCTTCATTTATTCACAATTATGTCGTTCCAAACTTATTCGGAGTAATTTTGTAGTCATGTACTGAGATATTTAAAAAAGATAAGATATGTTAAAAAAGAAGAAAAAAAGATCATATAAATATAAAAAAAGAGATAAGATATTTAAAAAAAGGTTTGGTCCCACTTTATATTAAGTGGCCTTAACTACTATGTACTTACATTTCAATTAATAATTTGGTACAATGCAGTTATTGTGTACATATATGTTTTTACATTGTACTTATATTTTAAAAATACCTGCATGTAATTACATCTGTAATTAATTTCTGTAATTACATTTATAATTACACTGTTGACCCATCCCTTACACCTTAACCTACCCTTATACTTACCCATACCAACAAACCTGTGCCTAACCTTACCTGTATCCCACCTCAATAGCAGCAAAAGTGTTTTGCAATACAATATGAACACAATAAGTACATTGTACTTATTTTTTGATGTTAGTACATAGTAGTTAAGGCCACTTAATATAAATTGGGACCAAAGGTTTACTCAAAAATAAAATGTAAGTTAAAATATACTTAAAACCTGGACGTTTTAGGAAATTTCAAAGGTTTAATGGTAAAATTATTAAATTTAATTAAAATAAAATATAAAAAAATATTTTAAAAATGAAAGAAAAAGTAAAATGTATATAGTTAATATAACTTTTTAGTTATCCTCTTTGGATAGAAATTGCTCCTTTGAGTGCAGATATATAGAAAATTATTTTTTTAAATGCTTATCCAATCACTGCAAACCAGGGTTATTTTAGTAATTATTTATTTATGTACTATTATAGTATTTATTGATTTTTTTTATTTATTTGCTTTTATTTCTATTTCGGCTTTCATTTTCATTTTTGTTTTAGTAATTTAGTGTGCTTTTGTCATTTTGTTTAATATTTAGTTTTAATTAATTTTTTATTTAGTTTTATATTCTGCTTCAACTTTTTCAGTTTAAGTTTCTGAGACTAAGTTTATATATATATACGGAACAAAATTATAAATGCAACACTTTTGTTTTTGCCCCCATTTTTCATGAGCTGAATTATAATTTTGTTCAGTGTATATATATATATATATATATGGAACAATAGCACCACTGCTGGACAATTCATTCATATATAATTCAATTCAAAGTGTGCAAAAACGTTTTACGAAAATTTAATTACCAGTAATGTTTTCAAAACTAACTTCAACAACCTGTTTTTCTTTAAAAAAAAAAAAGAAAGAAATTAAATGCATTAATACAAACACCTTTTTGTATAACACAATTTAAAACATTTAAAAACATTTGCGCTCATTCAGCGCTCGCCAAAAAAAAAAAAAAACATTTGAAAGTCAGGCTGCTGTCATTAGACTAATGAACAAACTCTATTTTAAGGCTATGACATTGTTATCGTTCCATATGTTGTTATTCAGAAAAACAAGTGTTGTGTTAGTGTTTCTACAAGTCAACTTGGTGCAAATGAGATTAGATTTAAGAGCTGTGAAGGATGAGACTGTTTCGTCACACAAAACAATGGCTTCAGATGACTTAGTCATTTGGACTACTTTTATGATGATTTTGTGGAGCTTGACTGTGTTCTTGCCATAAAATGCCTGTTTATGTGGAAGAAATATGGGTTTGGAACAACATGAGGGTCTCTAAATAATGACAGAATTAAAATTTTTGGGTGAACTGTCCCTTTAAATACTATAAAAGACAAAAAATGTGGATAGAACTGACTAACGATTCAAATAACAGCAAGAATTTCTTGGAAATTGGCTTAGCCTGTTGTTAATTACATTTTATTTTTTGTCAGTGTTGTACAGTCGATTATATCTGCTGTCATGGTGCACATTGTTGTATTTGACATGCTTTGTGGCCAACCTTGAAACGTTTCATGAAAGCAGATTGATTTTCTTGCCTCCGCTTTATCAGGTACCTTGAGTTAAACGCAGACCACGAGTAGCCAACAGTGCAGAGAAGCTTTTAGTACTTAACGTTAGGGATCGCTTTGAAAGCTCTTCACTTTCCACCCCACTTGTCTGTGGAAACATGATAAAATCAAAAGCCTTTTACGCTGAATGTACCCTTTGGCCCTAATTGGATTCGATGAAAGTGTTTGCCTCTGGTTTGTGTCAATAGAATGTACTATTGAGCTCAAAACGGCCCGAAAAACATTGTGCGAAATCACGCGTTTTCATTTTTCACATGCTGAACTGATTGAATGTGGTGTCAACGTGCATGATTTACATGTCTGATCACCAGTTTAATGATTTTTGTTTCCACTGCTTACCACAAATGCATCGACTTAGAAGAGTTTCCTCTTTTGTGTGGTCACCTGTCATTAACCTGGAATCCCCTTTCCGTGCAGTTTGAGTGAGATTCACACAAACTAGCAAATGACGGTGGATTGAAGAGAACGAAGGCATGTGGGCTCATGCTAAGCATGATGGAACAGCTGCAGCAAGGCTTATTTTTGTGGAAATATTTAAGTCTTGTGTAGTAGTGTCCTCAGCAGAACCAAGTTCTTTTTGAAGATCATCTTCAAATGACTTCAAGAAACATCTAAAAAATGCCCACCGTTCATAATGTTTGTTTAATCATTGCCATGGCTTGCCATGGTGGAAGTCGAAGCCGTTCAAACCACCCATTAGTGTGTAAAAATGCATGTTACTAAAAGTTTGTGTATCGTTGTCCATCAGCATTTTGCTTCTTGTAACATACTAAACAAAAAGTGTAACACAAACTGTTAACGAAATGCTTTGTCATCATCTGTACTGGAACTGACATAATGAGTGTTTATAGGTGTTTCACTGTCAATGTGACTTCCATACACTATCGTTCAAAAGTTTGGAGATAGTACGATTTTTTTAGATTGTTTTTGGAAAAAATAAAATCTTATGCTCACCAAAGCTGCATTCAGTTGATCAGAAAAACAGTAATATTGTAAAATATTACAACTGTTTTTCTATTTTAATATGTTAATATTTGTTTTCTGGATTCATTGATGAAAAGAAAGTTCAAAAGAGCAGCCTTTATTTGATATAGAAATCTTTTGTAACTATATAAATGTCTTTACTGTCGCTTTTGATCAATTTAATGCATCCTTGCTGAATAAAAGTATTAATTTCTAAATCAAAACACTGATCCTAAACTTTTGAACAGTAGAGAAACTCTATTGAACAAAGTGTGTTTTGAGTGCATCTGGCTCTGTATAACCTTTACAGCAATTTACTATTTAATTGTACTCAGCTCCGTTCCTCATGGTTTTCCCTGTAGGCCACCATTATGTCGGGCAGCTCTTTGAGTCTAAACCACGATCCTGCACCCACCCGAAGCCATCTGGGCCGTCAGGCCAGCTTTCAGGAACGTGGCAGCAACAAACCACAATACACACAGGCCAACCGCAGCAACACGCTGCCCACTGACGTCGGCAGAAAAGCTTTCGCCATGAGGAGAATGAAGCAGGAGATTAAAGACATTATGTCACCCACTCCGGTTGAGCTTCATAAGGTGGGTTATTTTTTTAGTTATACAGTTATATTTTGGTCATTTCTAGATCAATTGAGTGGTCATACAGCAGGTTTAATGAGTGTAACTGCTCCCACATTCATAGGTGAGTCTTGTGAAGAACTCGGACCTTGAGGACTTCGGGTTTAGCGTGTCTGATGGAGTCTTGGAGAAGGGGGTTTATGTAAACAATATCCGTCCAGCCGGCTCTGCTGAAATTGGAGGCCTGAAGCCATACGACAGACTTCTACAGGTGGTTTTATTACATTTAAATTTTTGTATTTGTATTCATATTAAAATAGCAGTCTTTTTGCTAATATTCACAGACATTAGTTAATATTGCTATTTGATTATGTGAACCTAGCTCTGGTTCCCATAGAAACCTGAGGCTAGACCAGCCAATGTGCACGCGCAGTCATAAGCACGTTATGACTGTGCATACACATTGGCTGATCGAGCCAGAAAAACAAGCTTTTTTAGAGATATTTGAGCATAAGAAACAACATTCATGAGGCAGTTCATTTCAGATATTGTTGCTGATTTGAAATATGTAATTTAATTGTGAGTTCATAGGGCAGTTTTATGAGATTTCAGGATTCCCCCATTCATTTAGATAGGACCTGGTCTTGGATGAGCTGCCCGGAGGCGTTGCAAATATGGCCGCCAAGTGAACAGACTTTCCTTGAAAGGGCCTTTGAGTGGCCTAAGAACAGATAAAGTGTATGTGTAAATGATATGAATTTTCGCTTGCTTTGTGCCACAGATAAACCACATCCGGACTAGAGACTTTGACTGCTGCTTAGTGGTTCCTCTTATAGCGGAGTCTGGGAACAACCTGGATCTAGTCATAAGCCGAAACCCAGTTTCATCGCAGCCCTCAGAACTGAACCCGTTGTCCAATGACGAGGCAGCAAACTGGACTGACCCCGCGGACCCTCTCGAACAGCCCGCCACAGGGCTGGAGCAGGGCCAGCACAACTCCACGTTAGTGGGACTAGAGGACAGAGACCCCAACAAGACTTTATAGCAGAACTCCTCCCAGTTGCCTGCAGTGGAGCTCTCCTCCTCATGGTGCTAAAGTGAACCCTCCTCTCCCTAAACGGCTCCCTCTAGTGGAGGAAAACAAGAGGGGCTTGTTGTCCTATAGCACACACCCAGTCCCTATCCCAGGCCAGAGCATGAACCACCATGACTAAGAGGTGACAAGCTGGGTGCGTTTTTACCCTGTGAAAATGGCGACTAAGACCACACTGACCTCTTGGAAAACCAAATTGTGGGGGGAAAAAACCTGAAACAGTGCCATCCCTAATTTTTATTGCCAATAAACAAGAATAATTTTAAAGAGGACTCAAAAAAAAAAGAAGCAAAAATGCATAAAAGCAACACTATGACTTGTACTAACGATATCGGACTGGCCACTCTGTGATCGTTTGTGTTTGTGTGAGTCTGAATGAGTGTGCGCTTGTCCAGAGACTTTATTTCGCAAGCTTCCACGAAGTCTGTCAAAGTCCCACGTTCGAAACACAACTGTCGATTCTCATATTTTGTGATACTGAAACACAAGTGTGTGTATAGTGTATGTTTGTGTATTTCCTTCTATCTGATTCCAAGGTCAGAGTTGATCCCTTTTCACGCTCGATGAGAGGGAGGCTACAAAAAAATAATCAGCACAATGAATTCGGTAGCCATTTTTCAATTGTGACTGAATGTGGGTTATAACCTAATGCATGAGACCTTTTATCGAACTATTTTGTAGTACTTCTGTCCAAAAAACAAAAAAAAAATGGAGCTTGGCTACATGAAAAACACTGTGTTCCGGTTCTCTGACCGCTATATCACCGTAAATATGAAATTCAGTGTCACTCAAAAGGAGAAGGTGGCACAAAGGCACCTTATCTTGAAATTGGACAGATTGTCTATTTTTATGAATAGAAGCAGATGATTTATAAGGGATGTGTGTGATTTTGAGCGATGGCTGGTTAGCATGAGGTCGTTATCGACCGTGTACCAGAGCAGATTGATGGCACGGAGAAGGTCATTAGGTTCGGAAACTCTTTGTACTTTGTTAGCTAACCGCCGTAGGTCTGCGGTCTCCAGACTCTCGCCCCACATTTTGAGGAAATCCGTCATTGGCCCAAAGGACAGAACAGCTTATTATTTATTCCAACATCAGTCTCCTAAATGAAAACGACAGGCGTTCAAGTAGGTACTCGCATATTGTTTACTCCGCTGTCTGTGATAAATGAGGATATTACGACAAACAAATTCATCTCATTTGCTTAAATTTGCGGTATCCACTTATGACAAAAATGCAAGCATGGGGTTGATATCCATGAGGGGGGGAAAAAATCCTGAAAACACTTTTGTATTCCTCCCCACATTGTTTAAATAATTATAAATCATCATGGTAATTTGTATATGGTACTGTTATGGTTTTATATATCTCATCTGACATTTTTTCCCCAGACTGTGTAAGCCCAAAGGGTACGCAATCCGTTTGTAAAGAGGAAAAAAAAACATGTCAAATCATGAGAGAATGGATTCGCCCTACTGTGTGGTAGACCACTAAACATCACATTTGTAGCTCTGCTTGAGAAAAAAAATTGTTAGTAAGAAAAAAATGCCATAGGTAAGCTGCTAATGGCAATGAAGACCCTCACCCACCTGTGTGAAACTGTGCTTTTGATTGAGTGCGTCACCCTTGTTGTCAGTGCTCAAAGATCCTGTCTACTCACTATTTTCAAATGGCACATTGTGGTCCAACTACTGAACTGAACAAAAACCTCATCAAGCCCACTTGATGGAGAACGTTTGACGATGATGAAAAGGTGTCTTTTGTTGTTGTTTTATTTCAGATAAACTTTTATGTTCGGGTTGATTCCCCAAACTCATGCACTGAGATGTTTCTCAATTCACTACATGTTGAATTATGGTTTTCAAGCCCTGATTCAAAAGTTAGTTGTCACTTTCATTACGTTTTCCTTGACCTCGACCTATGTTTTTTATAACATTTCACTGTGTTACTGCAAATACACTCCGGTCAAGTGAAACAAGTAATTTTTATGTTCCATTTGTGGAAACGTTTAGTGAAGTCAAGCACTGCCAGTTAAAAAAAGTGGGTGTCCATTTTCAGTATACTATTGAATTTATGAATCAATGTCACAGTTAAGTCCCTGAAATATTGTATTTTTATTTCTAATGGACAGGTATTATGAGCTGTAAAGTATTTTTGTACAAATTTAATACTTTGTTGGCATGATGTTTATTGTCTATGTATAAATTTGGGGATTCCTACAGCTGTAATCCTTTGTATGGCCAACGAACAAAGAAACAATAAAACAACATGCCGAGTGAAGAGATGACACCAAAATGCTCTCTTGATCTAATGTGACATCTTATGACGGAGGTATGTTGTACAAAGTGATCTGCTCTGCCACTCGCATTGACATAACAGTGAAGAAATTCAGCTTTAGGACACAAGCAGATAGTAAACGACTGATACTGCATTTAAGTGCACATAGGAAACTCCTATTTCTAATTCGGTGTTTGTTATAACGGCATGTCATGCATTCAAGTTAGAAGCATTTACTAGCCTAAACAAAAAAACTGAAATAACAAAATCTGAATATGAAATGATGAATAATATTAAGCTGTAAAGTATTTTTGTACAAATTTAATACTTTGTTGGCATGATGTTTATTGTCTATGTATAAATTTGGGGATTCCTACAGCTGTAATCCTTTGTATGGCCAACGAACAAAGAAACAATAAAACAACATGCCGAGTGAAGAGATGACACCAAAATGCTCTCTTGATCTAATGTGACATCTTATGACGGAGGTATGTTGTACAAAGTGATCTGCTCTGCCACTCGCATTGACATAACAGTGAAGAAATTCAGCTTTAGGACACAAGCAGATAGTAAACGACTGATACTGCATTTAAGTGCACATAGGAAACTCCTATTTCTAATTCGGGTGTTTGTTATAACGGCATGTCATGCATTCAAGTTAGAAGCATTTACTAGCCTAAACAAAAAAACTGAAATAACAAAATCTGAATATGAAATGATGAATAATATTCATTTCTATCACTCTAGCTAATTTGGTGGGTTGAGATTCATTAAATATGTCCTCCAAACAAGAGCCTCCAGCATTAGCAAAATAAAGCGTAAATGCCGCACACTGGACGAGAAGCACCACATCTTGAAAATTTGCCTTCAGCATCAATTCCTGCCAAACCACTCATACCGTTTTCCATTTAACAGCATTTACAATTATTTGGGATAGATATTTGTACATACTGATTTCACCCTTGGCTGCAATAGTGCATTATTCAGTAATAAGTTTGTTTTTTGGCTTGAATGATGTCTATGCTTCATATGAAATATAGTAATATTGACTGCCCTTTCTTTTTCCGTTTGCACAGACTTAGTTCTAACTAAATCTAAATTTAAACTCACTGACGCCACTTAGTTCATTTTCAAAGTGAACTTTTGCCTGTATAGGCCTACTATTGATTAGATTCAATTTGAACTGCCTCCTTAAACTTGAATAAGTGAGCACACAATGACACGTCTGGTGTGCAATACTTGTGAGATGTGCATGGTGCTGTGCTTCTCGTCCAGTGTGCCACCTAGAGTATTAGGAGACGAGGCAGAAATCATGGTTGGATTTTTTAATGGATGTCAATGGAAGCGTCAATTTGAGTTCAGTATGTTACTATTTTGTGTGAGAAATGCAAACGATTCAGTGCATGAGTGAACTGTCTGAATGAATCAAAATGAATTGTGAACAATTTCAGACCTTTAGGCAAACCAGTTTAACTGATTAGATCATTCATGAATCTGACTGATAGAAACACAAATTACATTATTGCTGAGCTTATCAGAAAAATGATTATCATGTCAGTATATAGTAATTTAAACTACGTTACAATGACTATTAATGTCTGTTTTAGTTAGCTTGGCATAAAGAATCTACAGACTTGCTACTTGACTGCCATTTCGCTACCAGATGTTTTTTGTTCAGAAGAGCATTTCCAGCTCTCATCTCCCTCGTGGTAATTGTCGTGCTCAAGGAGCAGTGCTGATGGAGTGGGATCGATCGCAGTATCTCTTCTCTTAGAAGCTCAGACACATGACCATTAAGCTTTCACTTGTTTGAACCTTTTCTACTACTATAAATTATAAGCACCTTACAGCTTGACAAGCACCAGTTCAAAGTAGCTTTCCTAAAACTTCTCTGGTTGAGTCACGTTTGCTGTTAACAGGGAGCGCTCCGTCTGGTGGTCACTCAGTATACAGACTCGCGGGCAATTATGATTACCAAGGTTGTTTATGTTTCTAAAGCTTTTGGTGGTTTAGGAATTTAAATCTACTGAGCGGCTGTTTTTGTGTAACAAGAATTACTCTTGCAGATTTTATAGAAGCATTACATCACTTGCTCACCGATGGACCTTCTTAAAAAAAAATTAATAAAAACACAGCTTAATAAAAAAATCAATCACCACAAGTAATCGACACAACTCCAGTACACCAATTAGTGTCTTGTAAAGCAAAAAGCTGCATGTTTGTAATAAACAAATCTATCAAGATGTTTTTAACTTAAAACCGTAGCTTCAAATACGAGTCCTCTATTCATAATATTGCTTTCTCCAGTGAAAAATGTGTCCTGTCTGAATCAGGAGAGAAATATGCACAAATCAAGCACAGTTTATAAGCAAAAACAGTTTGAAACAAACGTGACAGTGGATTTTGATGTGAGAGGACAATAGGGGATGGATTTTTTCCCTAGAGGAAGCGTTATTAAGGATTATGAGCTTGTATTTTGGCCAAAAGTGAAGATTTCAAGTAAAAATGCCTTGATTATACAGTAAATTTGGTTCTTACAAACACGCAATTTTTCACTTTACAATTTGTTAATCGATGGACCGGAGTTGTGTGGAATACTTGTGGACTATTGTGATGTTTTTATCAGCTGTTTGGACTCATTCTGACGGCACCCATTCACTGCAGAGGGTCCATTGGTGAGCAAGTGATACATTTAATGATAAATTTCACCAAATCTGTGCCTATGAAGAAACAAACAATCTTGGATGGCCTAAAAGGGGGAATAAATTTTCAGCAAATTTAAATTTTACATTTTCATGCAACATTTTTCTATGAGCCTGTAATAGCTGATATGGAGTAAAAGGAAACACAAGGATTGGAAATAGAAAATGAAGCAACGCTATGTGCCACATGAAAGAAATGCGATTGAAAGCATCCCCTGAATGCAAGAATCCATAAGGTTACACACAACCACCTGGGAATGGATACAGGGGATGCAGGAGACAGTGTACTTCCAAATGAATTATGTGGCCATGTCCCTGAGGCTGGCTCCACATAGGCTTTAATGAAATGCTGTGTGGACTCCATAAAGAGCTGGCTTCCACCTCAAGCTCCTGGGGGAAAGCAACAGGCAGTGGTGCATTTTGTTAAGCATGCCCAGGAGAGGTTGTGAGCAACTTATGCAGCAACAATCCCACAGGCATGTCATTACATGGCCGAACCGATAGGAAAACCAGCCCACATAAAAAAGAAAAACAGTATTCTCTTTGGAGATGAGGTTGTAATTAAACCTGAAGGAAATTACTTTGCGACCACTGCTGGGGTTATAAAATAAGTGGAATATTAAAAATAGCAGAATGGATCGTCTGAGAATGAACATGTGTTGGTTAAATATGAGGTGGAGCTCTCCACGGGGTCTTTTACTTACTTGCGTTAGCTGATTAGCATCACAAAGGAAGGAAGCAGGTGCAGGAAACCCCTCTGAGAATGGAAAAGAGATGACAGACGACGGTGTGGATTCTTCAACGTACCTGTTGGGAAATTTAAATTAAGGCGTTTGGAATGAATTATGTAAAGAAGAATTGTGCTTGTATTTGAATGTGTGCTAATCTCATTCTCCCGAATGGCCTGTGCTAGGGCACTAGTGTATACTTAGGGGGGCAACTCTGGTCTAACAAGTGGGGGACCAAAACTGTGTTCAAAATGTTGTCGTTTTCTTTGTCATTTACACTGTCAAAATGTCAGTAATTGTATAAATAAGGAAGACCGGGTCAAGTTGTCACAGGCTCTACATTCAAGTAACCTTGTGTACTATTGTGGGGTGTCCAAGAAAAGGGAAATATTGAGAGAGAACAAAAAATCCCAAAAAAGTATTATTATCATAATGATATCAGATGGTTTGACAAGTCTTAATTTAGTATCCATAATTTAGGATACATTCCATGACCACTGATGTTGATTATATTTTTTCTAACAATTTTCTATTTAAAAAATTGTTCATCATACGTTTCATTTTTCTTGAAATTACCCTGATGTCCCCTACATTTTTGCAGTGTTTGTTTTTGACATGAGAGGGTCATGAGTTCAAAGTAATGAATAAAAAAAGATTATAGTAAACATTATCTATATTCAACATATTTCTTAAATCTACTTCAGAAAAATAAACCGAACAACTAATACATTTTATTACAACACCACGTGACCAGCCTCATTTGATGTAATTTTCTTGTTGTGTACATTCTGAACTTATTGAAAGTGTTCAGAATGTAATATTTAATATATTCAAATTTGAATTTAACATGATCAAGAAAATAATGTGACTGAAATGATCAAAATCAACAGTCACAATGGTTGTCAACTATGCTAACCTATAATGCTTTTTTTGTTTGTTTAATTACATTTTAAATAACTAGAATGCTAATTCTCATACCTTTTCAAGGCATATTTAATATCCACACAGTTTGGAGTTTTGCATAACATCTATTGAAATCACCCAAATTACCTTCCAGGCAGAATAATGATTAAAAAAATGCATTTCTTGACTGTGCTGTGAATATCACAATGAAAAATACAATTATTTTAAAACAATACCTTTCACCAAGGAAATGACCCTTTCCCTTGTAATACCAAAAGTGTTTCATAATTAAGCTTGGCAACTTGCACACATGTTACACTAATGAAAAACATTATATAAACTGAAACCAAGAAATTTTATTAAAATTGTTTTTGTACTTTCTGTTGATTGTGAAAAGTACCCCCAGTTATAGAATGAGCCATTTAGTTGTCAAAATTAGCAATTAGTCAGCAAACTGGTCTATCTTTTCATATGGTGCTTCAAAGAATAGGCTCATGTAAAAACAAACACGGTACTGATAAAACATTACGATGAGATAGGCCTACTCTTGATTGTATTCATATATCATATGGCATTATGATAAGTTTTGGTACTAAGTACTTTTTCGTGTTTCGCTTAACTTATGTTGTTTGGACAATGCCTTTACCTGAGTCGTTCACAAGCTGCAGGTGTTGCTCTTAATCATGATCTTCTCCATCACTGGCAAACGGTAGAACACTTTTCGGGCTTTTTTTTAATGGATAGGTAAATATTCCCACTTTATCTAGTGTTTTTGTACTTTGTATTCGTATCGCGTTATAGTTTTACCGCTTCAAGTAATTAAGTGCGTGTATGAATCGTCTAAACGATTCAGACTGAATCGCGAATCGTTTTACTATCCAGCTAATGATTCATTGAAGAACCGACTCAAATGATTCCTTGGTGGTGCATACTAATTGTAGATGTACTTTTAGGAAAGATAAAGGAATAATGTATCTGTGATTACCAAAATCAGTTTTTCAGCTAGAAGTTTTCTTATTTGTAGCTATATATATATATATATATATATATATATATATATATATATATATATATATACATATATATATACATATCTAATATATCTC